GGTAGAGTCGGGTAACTTCGCCAGTCGAGTAACTTTGCCACCCCCGTTCACCCTCTCTTAAATACATTGGAATAACCTATCCTCTCTATTCTAATTAGGCAAACATTTTATGCCAATGAGAAGCAGGGATCCTTGGCTTAATCTATATAACTAATCACAGCCTTTGTTACAGTTTTGATGTCACTATCGTGATGTCATACGCGTCTCTTCGTCGTCAGCTCTACAATTCGCATCCCTTTCTATGAATCTTCTTCATAGAGCTTACACATCTTAACCCTACTCATTCTGCTTTTAATTCTTATTTGACTGACTATCATCTATATTTTCTATATTCTTCCCTTGATTCCTTTTATTTAACTGCTCTATTATCTCTATGTAAAGGTCTTTAATAGTTATTTCAATCAATTTAATTAAATAAATACCTTTGACTAAGGTTACCTATCGTCGGGTAAATTCGCCACGGCCGACGGGTAACTTCGCCAGTACTGTAAAGTTGCAATTATCTTGATCTTTGATCACTAACTTTGTTGTAATCTTTAACAATCATTTCTTTATTATTGTGAAATCAATAACTAACATTATTTCACAGTATTACATTTCCTGAATTGCAAGTTTTTGTTACTAAAATTGCTGTAACCTTTACTAACACTGTTCCTTACAATTATCTTACATTTTTGTTACTAACATACATTGTTGTAATATTTACTAGCCTAACACGTGTGTTGTAATATAACATTATTGCATTATTATTTCTAGTAATTTTGCAAAGTCTAGATCTATATCTACCCATTCACTATGCCAACACTGTCAAAAAATTTGTACGGCAAATATGACAGAGAGAATCTGGTTAAAGCCATTGATGCAGTTGCCAATGGGATGAGCTGTTCTGGGGCAGCTCGTCAATTCGGCATTCCCAGGAAGACCCTTGCCGATCATGTTTCGGGACGATCGAAGCTGGAAAGAAGGGCTGGGAGAGAGAGAAGCATCCCCGAAGCCATTGAAAACAAAATAGTAGATAAGGTCATCGCTGCTGCGGCTGCTGGATTCCCTATCACCAAGCAGCAATATTTACTGAAAGTAGGATCAGTTGTCAGCAAGCTGCACCTGAAGACCCCTTTACAAATGGAGTTCCTGGAAAGGATTACTGGTTGCAGCTAAAGAAAAGGCGACCTGATATTGCAATTCGCACTCCGGAGAACTGCTCATCGAGCAGATTAGCTATGATGAAAAGGGACGTGGTTGACAGATATTTTGGAGATCTGCACAAGACCATAACTGAGTTGGGATTACGAGAGAAGCCAGCACAGATCTGGAACTGCGATGAAACGGGCCTCACATTCTGCCCGGATGCTTCAAAGGTTCTGGCTGCAAAAGGAGCCCGGAATGTAGAGGCCAGGTGCAGTCCGTCCAAAGACAACATTACCACCTTGGTATGTGTTAACGCCGCAGGTTCTGTCATGCCCCCTATGTGCGTCGTCAAGGGAAAAACGAACAGGTCCATCCATTCCTTTGCTATCCAGGACAGCCCAGAAGGCACCATTTGGGCCTATCAAGAAAATGGTTGGATGAACGACGACATAGGGGTGCAATGGTTTCAACAAGTTTTCCTCCCCAACTGCGGAGACTCAAGGTCTCAATTGTTGATCCTAGACTCACATCACAGCCATGAGGTCCTGGAACTTCTCGAGATGGCGAAGGAACAGTTGGTCCATGTTTTGGCTCTCCCCCCTCACACCACACATATGCTCCAACCTCTGGACCGGGTGGTATTTAAACCATTCAAGACAGCCTACAGACGCCACTGCATAGAATTTTTAACTGCCAATCCAGGGAAAACCATAAATAAAGTGACATGGCCAAGCCTTCTTTCCAAAACCTGGATGTCAACTTTGAAGCCAGAGTTAATACAAAAGGCTTTCGAAGCTACTGGAATCCACCCTGTAGACAGGACAAGAATACCTGAATCGGCTTTCTTGCCAGGAGATGCTTATAGGGCTGCAGTTGCAACAGCATCATTGTCATCAACAGAATCAGAACCTGTAGTCGCAACAGCATCATCGTCATCAACAGAATCTGAACCTGGATCTGAACCTGCAGCAACGCCAACACCATGTCCCATGGAAGTGGAAGAGTAAACTATTGATGATGTTGGGGACGTCTTGACGATATCAATGGATGAAATAGGGAATCTTGATTTCTTCAACTTCACCGTTAACGTCGAAGGAGAAGATGTCCACATTGATGATATTGTCAATGAATCATCACCAACCGTCACCGACACTCAGCCGGAAACCAACCCAACTCAACTCCCGGAGGCAAACTACTGGAACCAAACCGTAAATGAAATTTTTGGCATTGCTTCCCAGTCCCCAGGAAACACAACCACTCGGAAATCAAGAGCGATTCCATCGCACAGACTATTAACATCTGAACAGGTGCTCCAGGAGAAACGAGAGGCAGCAGAAAAAAAGGAAAGGAAAGAAAAAGAAAAGAGAGAGAGGAAGGAGAAAGCACTTCAGAAGAAGATTGAAAAGGCTACTAAAAATGCTGATAAATAGATAGATTAGCCTATCTGATGATGATGTTAAGAATATTATTCTTATTTTGTGATCTCCTGTATCTAAGGGGTTAAAAATTGTTCCATTTTTATTTGACTTAATAAAACCCCCCCCCCCAAAAAAAAACACACCAAAAACACCAAAAAAAACAACAACCAGGAAACAAATGAAAAAGCAACACAAAAAAAAAGAGATAAAATGGCATTAAGGGGTGGCGAATTTACCCGATCGGGGTGGCGAATTTACCCCCAGGCTGGCGAATTTACCGGCCATGACCTACCCTAATAAAAAATGCGATATCTTTACAGTACGAAGGCAAAGCGTTTAAAAGGAAGGCAGAGGGGGCATTTTGATTGGCCAATATAAGGCCTATGTGTGTTTCGTCCGTGTCAAATGAATTGACTGCATCACACAGAGATTCTTCACCGTCAGTGAACGAAGGTGGCGAAGTTACCCGACTCTACCCTACCTTACTAAAAAAATTGTATAAAATCACAAACACAACCAAAAATTATGAAAATAGTATTTTCTGAAAGGAAAATGAATGAGCTAAATTACTAGATTCTAGATCTAGTACAAAATTATAA